TTTGAAAAATGTTAACCAAAGCCTTTAATCAGTCCAGGAGCAGTGGAAGTCTATGCCCCAGATGTAAATTAATCACTCTATTGATAAATAATTGCTGAAGTGGTTCTTGGTACCAAAACATCTTATGCTGGCTGCTGCAGGTGCAGAAGTAAAAAACGCCTAGGTACTAATATCATCTTTTCCAGGTAGTAGTTTAAGTCAATTAACTGACAAATGCAACCCCCAAATAACAGCCAATAAAAAAGGAGGGGCCAGGCTGCTGCTTCCTAAATCGGATTTGTTCTCTGACAAATGACTGAATTACAGGTCTTAAAAACAATGAATGCAGCATATTGGTGCTGTCTTGACCCATTTACTAGATCATGGTGTCTCTCCCATGCCTTTGTTTTGTTGTTTTTCTTGCCCAAGACTTCTCAGAAGCCTTGAATGCCAGACATAATAACACAGATCCTGCTCTGGTAGCAAATTGTGCAGTCTTTTGTTTCAAGCACACAGCATGCACCCAGACTTGCTCATAAAATATCCATAGCAAAATCATGCGATGCCTGTCTCTCTTATACATTTTTAAGAGCTGTGCCCTAAATCCATTAAAAGACTGTGAGGCATGAATAGAAGAATAATCCTTCCTACTATATGGGTGAGAAAGGAGTTGGGATCAAGTAACTGGACATACAAAATGAACCATGTGAATTTGCTGACTACCAAACTTCTGCTGTGAGAACACAGTATCTCTTGAAGTTCAGTTCTTTTGTCTAAATTGTTAAAAAGCATTTTGCATTATAGAACAGAGGAACTTCATACAATAAAAAGGGAGCTGGCGTAAAGAGAGGTCACAGAAATAGAACTGTACAAGAGGCAGAAGATGGTGAGGACCATGTGTACCGATAGAAAGTGCTTTCTGATTTCAGGACAACTAAGTTGAGGGAAAGGTGTCTTTATGATAAAAAAGTACTTACTTTTGAACTATGAGGTGGTTGCTCTTACTCCAGAAGTGAACCTTGGAAATCCAGTTCTCTGCACTGGAAAAAAATGGCCTTCATTGTTTTACCCTTAGGAGAGAAGCAGGGAACCTAATGACATCCCACATAACCTAGGTGGATGTTCAAAGGAGGAGGAGAGAATTAGCCACTCAGAATGAAAGGGAATTGGGTGTCTATGTCCCTAAGGCTCTTTATAAAATTACATACTACATCTCTTGCTAGGAGTCCTCTCATCTCATCATTTCTGTGGAACTGTAGTGTCTTTAATTTGGAAAATTTACACTCCACCTAAGTGTAGGTGCCAGATACTTCCTTCTCCTATTCAATGTCTTGCATCTTGGAAGCACTTGCAGGTGCCCTCAGAGGTACATTTTCCTCTTTAGCAGCCACGTCCAGGATCATCCGCAGGATTTCAGACGTATAAATGGGGCTCAGAAGCAGGTGGTTTTACTCCCATGGAAGCTGGGAGGGGATTAGGAGGGGATGGAGACGTTGCCCTTACTAGGAGCAGGGTGCTGTGTTCCTGCTCCTCTGTCATTGCCCAGGGATCCAGGGCGCCTTGCATTTTCCAGGGCCCATCCTCTTTAGGCAAAGCGTACCTCTGTCCTGGGTAAGTTACAGAAATAAATTGCGTTGGTATTTATTGTAAAAGCTTACAGTCATAAGGCTAAATGCAGATTTCCATAATTCGGTGGGTGTATGCTCTGACTGAGTACAGCCCCACTTAACCACTGCCACAGGTGGAGTCCTCCGTGGGTCAGAAACTCCCAAGAAAGCAGCACACCATTATCTGGGCAGAGTTTGAGAGAAAAAGTGGCCTCAGCATTTAAGAACTAATTTCTGTAGAATCAACTCCCAAGTCCTTAGGTCTCTTGAATATGAAGTGATGCATACAAGTCCTCTGACACACACTTGAACCCCAAAGCCATGTGCTCTGTTAAAAGAAGAAAACAGAAAAGCTTCATATTGAATTCTCAAGAGCCTTGATAAATGAACTGTGGGACTCTATGACTTTCCCATTATGAATTCATCTTAGTTCAGAAATTGATCACATATCGACCTCACTTGTTGGTGGTGTCATTCCTCTGAGCTTGGTGGAATTCCTTGAGCGAGCAGAATTTGTTTTTTCTGTTTAGAAGCAGGCTAGAGGACAAGACAGCCTCCATGTACCCTAGGACTCTCACTCTGGAGAAAATCCCTTTGACAGAATCTTCAGTAACTAACTTATCACACAACTTTAAAAGCAAAGTTTACTGTAAATATTAATTTGGGATTTTTCTATCTTGGTCATCTGCCTTTTAAAATGACTTGTTACTAGAATTGCCTTTGCAGCTTGTGATTCTCTTTTCTACTTTCAGTTTCCCTTCTGTACTGCCTTGGTTGTAAGTAGGCTGTGGTTTTCTGAAAATGTAGCTGTGATGTTTGCTATATTTTCTTATACAAGACCTCTGTTTTAAAAAAAGACAAAACCCAAATGACCAACAAAAAAAACCCTAGCCCAAATCTAGTTCTTTCCCCCACGCATTTAAGTTACTATTATTAAGACAAGTTTTACATACACAGTGTAATTGCTTCACCAAGATACTGTTTTCACACTACACCATACTTGTGCATATTTTGAGATTTTTTTAGTAACATTTTTATTGTTAAGGGGTCCCACTGTGTAGGGCGTGTGCATGCAGAGATCAGCTTGAACACGTGATATGTGGGGACTTGACCATAACTGCAGGTGATGAAGTCTTCACGATCATAGTCTGCCTCCTTTGTTTGTTTTACAAATAGCAACCTCAGTCTTGCATTTACGTCCCTGGACCCCGGGTAGTGTCACGAGGCTTCTGTACTGGACGGGAGTCCACCCTCCTGGTTTGACTGCTGGTGAGGAATTGCAATTAGCAAAATACCATGACCTTCTGCGCTCTTCTCAGAAGAGAGATATTATTATTTTAATACCTCATTCTCCGTATTTCTATTTTGATGTCTTGTCTGATTTTTATTTCATTTTCATATGGTAAGTTTGATTCTTTTCTCTTTCCATTTTAAAATACCTCGGGTTGCTTCAGACACAAATTTTCTCAGTTGGTAGGTGACCTCAGCTATTGTTACCATCAGCTTGTCCTAAAATCATCAATACCTATTTTGCTTGCGTTTCATCTGGGCTACTAAATGCACTTAGAGAAGTTAGATTCCCAAATCAAGAGCACGGGATACTCTAATTGCCTTTTACTTCTGTGAGCTAACTTCTGTTTCTGTCTGGGTGTGCCGCGGTGCCTCAGAGCTCACCGGAGCTGTGTACGCATCTCTGGAGCCTCGGAGATCAACTGCCTTTGGTGCTGCTGCCGCCATTCCGGGAGATGGGATCTCACTGGTGTTCCCTGGACCACTCGGTCATGGGAAAGCTGCAGAGTTCGACATTTTGCGTGGTGTTCGTTCGTTTGACCACGTTTAGCCACCGGAGAACTGTCTAGTCCAAGGTAGTTGTCTGGCCTCCCTCTGTGGAGAGGGGCACCTTTGGAGGGTGCTTCTCCCGTCCCTCTTAGAAACCTTTCCGTGGGGTGACGTGAGTCATCGCCTGAACACATCTGACTCTAGGGAAAGCCTCAGCCAGTCTCTGGCACCTAACTGTCAGACAGGTAAAGGTAGATGCGGTAAAGCTTCCCTTTTATTTAGAGGAACAAAAATGATCTTGTGTGCCGGATTTCTACATCCAATGGTGGAAACAGCAACCTTTAGAGCTGTTTCCTCCTTCTTTCGGCGGTGAACATAGCATTTCTGGGAATTTCAGTGAAGGTGTGAATCAAAGGGCAGGTTCTGCCCCTCTTCCTCAAACGGAGTGATCCCCTATTCCCTGGGAAGTGCCACTCCAGGGGATTCCTGTTTTCTGTGAGTGAGTCTGTGGGGCTGGAGCCGTGTCCCCTGCGCGCTGTGCCCTGGCATTTGCGCTGCAAACACTCCTGCCTTCGTTTTCCTGCAAAGCTGCTCTTGCCGTGTTGAGCCGGCCTGGCAGCTGCCTGAAAACGAACCATTTCCTTCAGATCTCCAATCTTGAACTTGTTGACCTATGTGCCTATTAATTATTGATATAATGTTGCATTATTTAGGCTTGTTTCAGCAGACGGATACATTATTACCAGACAGACATTTGCCAGACAGGCTGATAGATAACATCCTAAAAAAAGTCTCAAGTTGCATTTGTACAATAAAGGAGTGTAACTTCGTTACTTTCCCCCCGACCCCCTCCTCTTGCTGGCACTTTAGTGCTATGCTACCTTGAAACCTTAATAGAAATCTAAGTATAATAACAATCTCTTCAGACAATGGACTTAATCTTGACTTTGTTGGAGTTGTGGTCCTGATGTTGGTCAGTCCTCAAAAATACAGAGGAAGTCTTCTTATCCAATCCGCTGAAGCTATTTTTCTTAAGATACGAGAAATTGTTTTGTTTTTCAAACCCTTGGTATGGAAAGGAGAACTGATTTCACCCTGGTTGCTATGTGCTGTACTGCAACAGTCCAGAGACACAGGCATAGCTTGATGTGTATCTCCCAGGGAAACCTGCCTTTGATTTTTTTCAAACCCCGCTGCAGTCATTTTATCTATGGATCCAAGAAAACGGCGTATCAAAATGAATTATCTGTAATTTAAAACATGCATGCTGAGCATTTCTGAACCTTTGTAACTGCGGCGTAGCTTCAGCTGAAGCAAGAATGAAGGTACACAGTCCTTTGTGGCAGTTGTATCAAAATTACGAGCGCAGTGTGCAGTCACAGCTGACGAGCAGTGCTGAATATGTGACAAGCTTGTTGGCATCTACGTGCTGCCCTCTTTCCTCTTTCTCTGCTCATCATGCTTCGCGCTGTCGCAACCAGTTTCTCCTCTGATGTCAAAATCCCGCTGCTCAATACGTTGTCCATACAAAAGCAGAAGCGGCAAAAAAAGAGGAAGGAAAGTAGATGAAGGGGGATGAGAACAAGAAATGCAGCCTTGAGTGTTACAAATCTGACTGCTTTGTTTGTTTTCCAGGGCTTCCTCAGGAGAAACAGTCGGTTTTGGGGAACAATTTCAGAAAGACTCAGCTGCCGTTTTCAGAAGTGATCTAGCACCAACTTCTTAATGTCGTTTGGGTACTTACCGCTGCAGTTAGATACACGGTGGGGTTTTCAGAGCTGTGTAGCCTCCTGCCACCTTGGGTGCCCGTGGTAAATTTTTTCACCCTTTGTGAGTCACTTCTGTCTCATTTCTGATTCACTGCTACAGCAGAGCCATGTCCGAGTGCCCGGGGAGGCTCCCTTAGTTTGACCCCAGCTTGACCAATGTGTTTGGCCCCATCACTCAGGGTCATTTCTCTCTTAGACACTCCTTACTATGTGGCCTCACTAGCATTTTCCCTGGTTTTCAGGAACACCAGCCACATGTGCTACCCTTCCACAACAGAAGGACCTCATCCTCAAAGCCTGTGTTAATCCCTTCATTTCCCCTTGTTCAAGCACACTCTTTCCCAGAGGTCCAGCCTTGTTCAGCAGGAGGGTATCTATTCAAAAGAGGTCCTTTAGGTTTGTCTAAAACTATTAACAACAGACCTGGACAAAACAATAAATGAGGAAACCTGCATTGGTTTCCTCACTGCTCTACAGTGTATTGTGGGTCTTGGTCAGCATCTTTGAGATGTCCAGGTTTCCCTCAGCTCATGGCTTCTCCCCCAGGTTATACAGTCTCTCTTACTCCTGCCAACATTTTGTTGTTCTTTTTCCAGACTGATTGGTGAGGGACTGTCATCTCTCATCTCCTTTGTCACATATGTCCTTCATCAGGTCTGTCCATCAGTGCTATCAGACAATCCCAGCCTTCCACTAGACAATTAATTCCCACCTCTTTGAAGTCTGCACTTGAAAAATTGTTTTCCTGAATGGTAACCATCTCTTTTTTCCCAGTAGTCCTCCATTTGAATAGATGAGCATCAGAGTTTAGCAGCCCTCCCTTCTAGTCCTGGATAAGATGGAAGAATTTATCCTGTCACACGGTGTGGGTTTTATCTCCACATAGGGACAGGGAAGCAACTAACTCCCACACTCAGATCAAATTTTAAGTCTGAAATGAGTAAATATGTAAAATGCAAGTCCCTAACACTGAATTTGCAAAATCTCTGTAGACTTTCTAAATTATTTCAGGCTAGTTTACTGAAATTAAATTACATAAAAGTCATACAAAACAGCACAACGTTATGTAAAACTCTACAAAACAAGTGCTGTGATTTTAACTGAGTTGAACAAATAAAACATTAAGTGTAATTTTTGTTCAGGGCCATGTGTTAGCTTTTGAAAACAAAAAGGAAATAAATGAACCAAGTCACACAAAACATATGTCTGCAGAATAATGATAAAACATATACTGTATCTGGACAACTTGTAAGTGTGGTTTTAATTCTTGCTGCTGTTGTGGCTGGAGGCTTTTGCTGTGCAAAAAAGGCTACACTGTGTTCATATTAAAGTACAGAATGTTTTTTATTCCTACTGCATCAGGAATAATGTAATCCTCTTGCGATAATGTGGTGGGTTCTGAGTCCTTCAGCTGAGACACCTTCCTGGGGAGAGCTAGAAACTTTGCAGAAAGACACCGTTCAGTCCTGCTGACTGTCTGTGATACAAGTTACCTATCAACCTACCTAGGATATGAAGGAGACTGGCTTTGCCTTTGGTGTACAAAACCCTAAAATTTGAGACTAAGAAGTCCAAAGGAAGGGTCAGCGTGTGACCAGCTGAATTTAAGCAGTCTGATACCAGAATTTCTGTCACTATGCTCTTGGAGTTGTTTCGTTAAAAAAGCCGTATGGGAAGCAGTGCGTTTCTGTTCTCCCTATCAAGTGCAGACTGCATTTTGGGAAGAGAGGCTGTGGTGGTGACTCTGACTATGCCAGGAACACTCTCTTGCAATATATGGGATAGAAAGGCACTTGCCTCTCTTGGCATGTAATGATTCATGCCAGGATGAACCAAAAAGGCATGGTCAGAGGTATTAACAAGGTCCCTTTGGTAGCTAAAGATCTGTCTATTCCCCAGATTCATCATTGCCTTACCATCTGTCATCCTATCATCTGCCTGAACTTGTCTTCCACAGCGGCTACGCCATCCTGAACCCTGGCTCCCATGGATTGCTTCTTGGAGCACAAGTACCATACCTTGCAATTCTGCTGTTGCATCTTTGACATTCTCAGGGCAGTGCAGTTGTGGTGCATTTCTGTCAGTGTTCAGGGCATGGGCCAAGAGTATAACATCTTAATTAGTTTTTTCTTGTTGAGCATGATTTCATATTGTAGGTACATGTGTTTAGCTGTCAGCTTGATTCTTGCAACAAAAGGAAAAACAAAGCAGTAATAAATAGAGAAGTTGCACAAGCCACTCTTTAAATAATGGCATTGGGTGGAACATGTGAAATAAGAGCTGTGGCTACAAAGCAGATTACTGCTTCCTATTCCTCCTATGAACATGATATAAATTATAGCTGTTTAAACTGATGCAGCAACCAAGGAGAATACTGAAAGCCTGAAGATGCCTCTGTATCCCTCCCACTACTCCTGTTCCAGGTTTGTAGACTGAGAAATACAGAACCGAGCCCCAAGCCTTGTCCTCTTCCACTGAAGATTGGTTTAGTTCCGGTGTACTGAGCAAAAGCATTGCGAATTCACGCTCGTAGTTCCTGATGTGACAGTCACTCATGCTGCGTAGGGCTTTGAGGTCTCAAGTCATGAAGAACTGAGTAATCAGGCATTGACTTTTCAGTATTCTTTTGAATGGGTGTGGGAAGGGGATTTCTAAATACTTAAAGAAATCAGGCCTTAAAAATGGAGGCATGGTATTCCAAAAATATGGAAACATAGCTTTTAAAAGCCTTCCATCCTTTCAGGTTTTAAAACTCTTAGTTTAGATTTAGAAGGTAATGACTCATTTTTGCAGCATTTCATTGTATCACATGAAATATCTTTTTTGGTGAAGGCAGGTTAATGTGACCAGTAGATGCGTATTCATCTGTCAGTACATTTGAAATCAATGAGTAGTTTAAATGATTAATACCATTCCAGATTTCTTCAAACATCATCATTTAACATTAAGCCACAAATATCTTCTTTTTAAAACAACATTTCTTCAGATGTTTGTTTTTGAAACTGTGGTGGTATCATATACCTGAAATATAAATGCATTTAGAGTGGCAGAATGTCCTCATGGTTTTTTGTATTATAAATGCTTCCAAACAGATACTGTAAAATCTATATTTTGAAGCCCTGAATTCCACAGGATTCCTACAGGTCTGTCCAGATTATATAAAAAAATGAAAAGAAATACTGAATTTTAGTCTTTCCTATAGAAGTCATTGACACAACTTCTTCTGACTTCATTATTTACATGCCAGTATCACAAAATTCTGGAAAGAAAGAGCAAAATGAGTTCTTTGGGACAGAGGTAAGAGAGATATGAAATGCCACATGCCAGAGCAATTCTCGTAGTCCCCAGCTCACGCTTTGCCATACTTTTTCCTGGGGACTTCTCTGACTTGGGCAGTGAGTTATCATGATGATTTATTCTGATGCCCCACAGCTGACCCCAAGCTCTCCTCTTTCTGGAGAGCCTCACGTGCCCTTCCTTGTCATGAGATCATACGCGTCTACTGCAGATGGCAGCATGTAAGAACAACCTTCTTGCCTCAGAGCAGAAAGGGACAAAAATGTCAAGCACTATGGGTGTATGAGACAAAACCAGTTTCAAACCCAAAAGATCTTGGTACCTCCATTTTAGGGTATTTTAGCTAACTAGACACATTTGAAACTCTTGTCCCTAACATGTATTTTTGCAGAAGTGTCCTACACTTAATGATAGTACAGTAGTAATCCCTAGGACTTTCTTCCTTCACAGATTGAAGTTATAACCTCATTTTGGTTGTGAATTAACTTGTATTATCATCTAGGGCAAATAATGCTCTAGATCAAAATGTTACCGACAAATTTGTTGTTTACTTGAATCTAAGTCACATAAACATGACCTGTGAACTTTTTGAGGAAGAAGCTCCTTTTTCACATGCATTTTCCACCAGAAAAACAAGAACTTGGAGATGATCTTTTCCACAATTGTTTGCTTAATCATCAACATCTTTTTTTAATGAAATGGTAATGTTTTGGGGGGGAGGGAGGAATAATTTTCTGGGCAGTTCTATTCTGAACTAAACCCATCCAACATGGTTATAATCAAGATTTTACAACTACTTAAATGGATCAGTACAAGAGGGAGTCATTTACACTCCCCTGGAAGTGGGGAGTGGTGCATATGCACCATCATCAGAGATACTTGATTGAACCTCAAGAAGAATGCTATTAAGCTTTTTGCATTAATTATGCTTAAAGCCTCTAGTGATACTGGGGCTAATTTTTAATTGATACACTTAAATCAATTCCTTCATGGACAGACATTTGTTCATTATGAACTCGTTTTTACGCATGACCACTCTTAGAGAAAGCAAGCTAATATTGTTCCGTCAGCAGTCAGGTACATTAGAAAAGCAATTGCTATACGTCTCTTTCTGATGTGTTTTGATGGTGCTCATTTCTTCTGGCATGCTTTTAGCTCCCAGTGATTCAGATGTGTCAGCTACTATAGCTGTAAGAAAACATTGATGATGGATTTATAACACCCAGACTTCCACTTACTGACCTGAAAAATGGCTAAGTATTTGCTTTTGAAGCAAAATTGGCCTTATCCATACAAAAAACATGCTTCCTAAGTTACCCTATCTGTATTTTAATGAAACATTTTATCCTGGTTATAATTCATGATTCTTGTCAGATGAAGTTTTCTCAGTGAGGCATAGTTGGGGCTACTGAATTTATGGGAAGGAATCAACTTAATCTCTTTAAAAGTGAAGTTGTCTTATAAAGGGTCAACTGCTTTGTATAATGGTTCTGAAATGTCTCACTGTCCATATTAAGGAGGAGTTTCTCTAGGCAGACAGATACTCTGTCAGGGCTATGATTGTCCAAGGAGGGATGCTTTTCAGATCTCCCTCTGGCAGCAAATGAAATGTACTGTTGTTCTTGTTGTTATATTGGTTTTAGAGCAGCTCCCATCTGAAATCAGGTCTCAGGATGCTAGGTGTTGAAGAGGTATGAAGGAGAGCACAGCCTCTGCGCCAAAGGTTAACACTCCAGACAGAGACAGGTTAGAAGAGTCAAAGGATTAGTAAAAAATTGCAATATATGCAGACAGAGCTCTCCTGCCAGATGAATTCCAGCAGTGAGATCAGATACCAAGGCTCCAGTCCTGCCATCCTCATTCAAACAGAAATCTGCTTCTACTTCTGAGCAAGCCGTTCCAGCATCAAACCTGATAGATTATTAAATAATGAATTGGACGTATCTCATATTTATTTTCCATCTACGTTCTTCCAGTGGAGGAAGAGCTCCCTGAGACAGTGTCAGCTCTGGGCCATTCATGCTAAACTTGTTGAAAGCTTTACTGAATCTCCTGAGAGAAAAAAATAATCTGCCCGAAAACAATCCCACTGGATGAAGTCAGGAGATCTTGGTTCACTTTTCAGCCTGACTACAGATTTTCCTGTGTCCTTGGATTGGCTCTTCAACCCCATTCTTTCTCAATTTACCATCTGCAAAATGGGAATGACAATATTTCCCTCACTGACAAGGAACAGTCCTCTTCTCAGGTACTATTCTAAACTGTAGGATAGATCTGGGATATATTCTCAGACTGTTTTGCCTCAAGTAAATAGCGTATCCCATGTGCAAGTTAAATGGGTTATCTCTCATACAGTCATATTTTGAGGGCTAGCTGGATTAGGGAGGACAAGTAAAAGGGCCCGCATTTTTTAAATGATTTCTATGCTGCAAAGCAGTTTAAGTGTTTTGAAGTTACATAAGATCATGCCCTGTTGATGTTGGACAGAAGGAGTCAGATTATTTGGCTTTGAAGTACATCAGAAAGCGGCTTCTTCCCCTCCCTTCTCCAGCAACTACTAAAATATTTCTTCTGTCCCACAGGGAGAATTTAGCTTCTAGTACAGGCTATCCCTGGAGCACCTCGAAGTGCATCTCTAATAGGGCCATGGGGATTTTGTAGTATATAATTCATAACCAGAAACACTTCCCTTATGGACAGGTTTCTTGACACACCCTAGGCTGAGGGCAGACAGCTGTGGTTTTCCTTCGGCTTCAGGGGACTGGGTTAACCTTCCTTCTGCAAGTCACTAATGGAGGTATTTAGCTCTTGTCACCCCTGCTGCTGCAATGGTGAATGGAAAATAGAAGTTAGCGAGCACTGAACAGACAGAAATCACGCAGAAGAAGAGCAAGATGCCCCTATGCGCTGCTCGCCTTGAACCTTAGCTTTAGCATTTAATCTTAAAATACATTCTGTCCTTGGCCTTTGGATTGAAGGTGCCCGTTACGAGAGTGGTTTTTGTCGTATCGACCTCTCTGGAAATATGGTGGAAGCGCAGGCCGTCTGGCCACGGTCAGGCAGTCGATGGCTTTTGGTCATTACCACACCGGTCTGGCTGTCGATCCATTGCTGGTGCAGCAGGAGAGGGAGTAAAGGAGCTGTTGCCTCCTGAAGGAGACTGAAAGCGTTTGGGGGCCACACACCAGACGGATGGGCTAGCAGAGAGAGCAGAGCTGCATCAAGGAGCTCAGCTTTGTAAGGTACTGCCTTTACTTGCCCATGGAGGGGATTGGGAGCTGGCAAGGGGAGCGATGAGAGACCCCCAGCTGCAGAGGTGCAGAGCCCTGTCCTTTGGCCTGAGGAGACAGCGGAGCCCAGAAAAGGCTGCTGTCATTTTGGGGGGAGCAGAAAGAAACCGAACCCGCTTGCCTGTCCTTCTCCCACCCTCCTCCCCATCGCCTGAGCCCTGCCAGCCTCCTCGAAAGGGGCCCCAGACACTTCTCCGCTGTGCGAGAGCCTGCGCTGGGAGTTCCTACCTGCTCGCTTGTTTACAGTTCCTCGGCTCAGACCTGATGTCTGCTCTCTCCTTTCAGCTAATTGGCAGACAGAGGCCTCGAGGGGTTTGGTTTGGTGCCATCAGACTCCTGCTAGCTCCGGTGGTGGTGTTCTTCCCCAGACAATGACTTCAGTAGCCTCCGGGCACCCCAGAACCTCCTAACAAACATCTCTCATAACTGCCTTATTAACTGATTGCTGTAGTAAGATAATAATTAACACCCTTACTTGTGTCTTGGCTCAGCCAAAAATATTCTCAAGTGGACTTTGAAATGCATAAAATGAATAAATGATTTATGTTTACTATTTTTAATGGAGCTACTTATTAGCAATGCTCTAATACAGAGCACCGTAAAAACACTCCTGATTTTGTTACAGATTTAGAAGGTGGTGATGAAAAGCTGTAGGGAATAAAATGGGGAAGCACTCCCTGAGCCAAATTCTGCTCTCAGTTGTATTTAAAGATCTTGCTGAGTTGAATCCTAGAGAAGATTTTAGCCAGAAAAGCATTGAAATGGAGAGAAATCTCTGTCATATACTCATTCCAGCTCACCTATTCAGAACCTGTACCAGCCAAGAGAAGGGTGCCTCCCCTGTAAGTATAGACACAAAAACGCAAGTGCAGGACGTGTGTATCTGCAGCAGATCGGAAGGGCCAGGTTTACACACGCACTCTGCATCGCTGACTGTACGAGGCGTGCGACAGTGGGGAATCTTACTGTGGCAGCCTGAAGTAGTCGTGCTGGCTTCAGGATGCAGGCCATACAGTGCCAGCATCTCTGACCTCAAAGGGAAGCGGGAAGGTTCGTGCGGCAAATCTTCACTAATTTATGTTGTTTCTTACAGTGATAAGAACACTAATTAGGAAGGCATGGTGGCCTTTAGAGAGAGCCCTGACACAGGACTCGGGGGACATGAATGCTGTGCCTTGCACTACTTCTGGGTGACAAGAAATGCCACCCTTCCTCCATGTCCTCTCTACAAAAGTAAAGGCACTGACCTTGGTGTTTAAGGTCCAGGTGCATTTAGGAGCCTTGCCATATGGGAACCGAGCCCGTGAACTCTTCACAGTGGGTGGGTTTACTCTAATTTAATTCTTCAGCCACAAATATTGTTTGCTATACTGTTCCTGAAATGAAGAGATGGGAGTCCATCACAAGCTGCCGTGACACACAGCACACACAATTCCCAGAATTGTTTGAACCACCATCTAAATCACATTATTTTATTCCAACTCAGAGAGAAGTCCTCAGCCCTGCCTCCTGCTTACTTTTCAACATCTTCTGCTGATCTCTCTTCAGTGAAGATAATGATGCAGGCGCATATCCAGCTTGTGGGTTTATCCTGAGATACATATTTAGTATGTAGGATATTTCTTTTTGCATGCACTCTATCCTGCAAATGCTAATAGAACACTTCTGCAAATACCATTAAATACCTGCAAATATTCTCTTGCTGTCTTTGCTCACATCTGTTATGAGAATTAATAATGTTCATCAGCTGAAGTTCCCAAAAGAATTTGAAATGCCTGGCTAGCAGGACCATTAAAGGCATCTGATTTTTCTTCTAGATGGACAGGATTTCAACACTGTGTGAAAAATCAGGGCACTTTAAGGTGCTAGAAGTGTCAGATCATTAGTCTCTGGAGTTGCTGGAGAATTTTCCAAACTACCATTTTGTCACTAATGTGTAAATGAAACATCCTGTGGATATTATCAACATTTCTTAGGCAGTCCTATCAGTCAGTCACATACAAGCCAAAGGCTACAGAACTACACTTGTCATGAAGAAATACAGTATTTTAAGATAACTACCATACCGACCTCTCTGATGTTTCTTAAAATGATTTATTGCTCTATTTTTTTTAATTTCCAGAAATAAAAACGAGTTTGCTTCAGGGCAGAGACAGTCTAAAAGCTTGTGCTAATAAATCTATGCAAGTTTAGTAGCGCTTAATACATATTCTGCTTCAAGTGCTTTTTAAATGCATTATCACCTTTAAGTAAATACAGTGGAAGACTGCCAAATGCCTGGATGCTGTTCTCCGTAAATTTATGCATTTATATCATTAATGCAATGAAATGTTTAAACTTTCATTGAATTTTGCTAACTGATTTGCAGTTTGAATGCTAGTAATTTTATGCATTT